GTGTGTGTGAGTCAGTACGGCTGTGGGTTACGTCGGGGTAGATGTGCACAACTAAATGAGCAGATTCTTCTGCTCTGTCTTGACTCACATTTCTTTCTCGTTTCCTGGTTTTTCGGTGTCCTGGAAACTCCGGCTGATAAAGCGACGCGCAAACGGCCGCTGGCACGTTTTGGTCACTTCGCTGGGCTCATGCCGCTGTGAACACTGTCCTCAGTTGCCTTTTTGTGCCGCAGCGAATCATTTGTCACTTAACGGAGCGGTTCTGCTTTTGCAGAAAAACAGGCAAAAGTGCAAAGCAGAGCCAATGAACCGAGCCGGTACTCAGTAATTAACTAGTAGTGGTTTAAGAGGAGGAATGAGTTAATAATCCTTTTTTGCACTGAGTTTGATTCTCGTTGCGGGGCGCACGTTTTGCAGGATGACGAGGCTTTGCATCTTTGCTGACTGGAAGCTGCACTGGTTGTGTGTGTGTGTGTGTGTGTGTGTCCACGCGCTGTGTGTAATGTGTTCAATCTAGCGAGCGTAATGCCTGCAGGATGATTTCCAGGTCTGGTCACATGAAAGTGGGCAACAACTTCAGGTCAACGAGCGTCGAGTGTCTTTCATTTTTGGTCGGTTATGACAATATATTGAATTCTTGCACCTGATATCTTGGTACTTTTAATATTTTGTAAGAGATGTCTTAAGGTCTCAACACTTGGCCTCAGTTTAAGTTTCATAACCGAATCAGGTGAAATAAAGAAATACTAATAATCTCACACCCTCCCTGTCTGTGATGCCCTCTGGGAGTCGGTGGCCTCTTATTGGGCATTCCTGTTTTTCGGCAGCGCTGAGGAGAAGCAGGATCCTCTTTCTGGCTGCTAATTACTCCTTGTCCTCAGCGCCAGGTCAAGCATGCGCCTGGAGAGTCAGGCCTCACTTCAGGAAGGGCTGGAGGACGAGGAAGGAAGAATGTTAATCCGCCCCCCCCCCCCACCACCCATGAAAAAGTCCTAATTCACTGGTCCGGCACCCGTCCTCCTGTCAAATGAAATGGTGCCGTCTGGAGTCCCACTAGTGCTGTTCGCAGGATGTGTGGATGGAGAGGACAGCGGAGAGGGATCCACCACAGGTTTTGGCACCGAGCCGGCGGCGGGGTTATGAATCTGGCTCTCGAGCTGATTGTTTAGAGAAGAGGAGGACGGCGCCGGGCCAAACTTCTTCTCTCCAGCAGTCGGTTTTAAAAGAGTTAGTTTCGCCCCCCCATTGTGAAAAAGATTCGCGCGCGCACTACTCGTACTTTTACGAATTAGTTGTTTCATTGCGACAAAACAACCCACGTAAAAGGTTGAGGACAAAGCCAAGCGCTCCTCATTCGTCCATCCTCAATGTTCTCATCTTCCGGTACCCCACATTGTGTTTGGAATGCATCTACTGGAGGACAACGGCGGCTGGCGGGACGTCGTCCAGTGAGTCCCCCGGAGCTAACGCACGGCTAACGCACGGCTAACGTGGGAGGCGAAGGAGGGACGCCGGGCCCTGAAGCGTGCACTGTGCTCACGTTGTTGCTTCTGTTGCAGGAAATTAGTGAAAGCGACAGAGAGCGAAAGTGCACGGGAGCCGGTCACGTAAACAGTTTCTGTGTAACCAACCTCCCGGATGTGAGGGTCTGCGGTCGGAGGGTCTGTGGTATTTTTGGCGGCCGGAGGGTCTCTCGAGGGATCTGCCTCTCGCTAAGTGGGCAAACACGGACACAAATCCAGCAGTGAGGGTGTGTGAGGACGCGTGAAAGACGGAGGGTAAATCCAGCGCAGGGCCTGAAAGTTCTCTCTGTATCGGGCGAGTCGATGCTTTTCATTGGAAAAGACACTCGCTGATCTCAGATGGGTTTGCGATAGGTCTTTTTATTCAGCTGTCGGCGTCTCGACCGAGATATAATATGCCTCCTTTCCTGTAAGCCGCTAATTGGCCCTCTCCACCTGGCTCACCTCCAGGTGACCCCCGAAGAGGCCCCCGCCGCCGCCGCCGCTTTCTACATCCGTCACGGGATCGAGGAGAAATGAATGCAACAGATTTCGCATTAGGGGAAATGATTTGGTCGGAGTGAGGAAATGAGAGCGCGGGGGGCTCTGATAGGAGGGAGGAAAGGGAAGGAGGTTATTAGGAACGACGATCGGTTCTTTCCCAAAAAAAGGCGTCGGGTCGCCACGGGATTAGTTTGTGTCGGGGTAGATTAGTCCTCAGCGAGGGGCTGGGACACAGTCAGCACCGACTGGATGCTCCTGACACCCCCCCCCCCTTCCTTCTCTCCCCGTGGTGCAGAGCTGACTTTTACTGCGGCGTTGTTATTGTGACAGCCGCATTGTTGTGACGCTCTATGAATGTAGGCCGCTGGCGCCCAAATCATTTGAATAATTTATCGCGATCCGCGCGCTGTTGTCGTCTCTAAAGCGATGAAATGTCTGTGGCTCGTTCAGAATAACTAATAACTCTGCCGCCCATGTTAATTTGTTCAGACTAGAACGGCGCCGCGAGCGCCTTTTCCCTAAAACGATAGCCGGCGTGCTTTGCGGCGGGGCGATTTGTGACTGTTACGATGTGATGTGAGGTGCGCGCCATCAGCGTCCTCAGCAGCGGGGCCGATCAAAGGTCGCGTCCATGTAAGGAAATACGGAGACTGTGTGAAAGGGAGAGAGACTGGGCTGGACGCAGCTGCTGGTTCGTCTCATAATCGCCGACTAACTCCACGTGCTGACACGCCGACGAGCTTGATCGTTGGACAATTAAAGCTTTTTCCGCGCTGTATGGGCGTTCGCCAGTGAGTGATTGTTTTATTTCCCAAGGGAATAAAGGGCTGCTGGCTGTTGGCAGGTCAGGGAGAATTACTGTAGTGTAAAGGCAGACTCAGACTTACAGGGAACATTTGTGGGTTTCTGGGCAACGGGCAACGAGCTTTGCTTATTGGTCGGCCGAAGCCAAAGTGTATTAAATAAAAAAACGTTCTGTCTCTCATATGGGGGACAGAGAGACCATAACTGCCTGCTTACTGACACTGAAAGCTCTAGCAGGACCTTCTGATGCTTAATATCTGGCATTGTGATGCTAATTATGTACATATTACATATTAAGGACTAATGCTATTCTATATAGTTGAAGACCAACTTATTGCTACCGTTTTTTAGCAGTTGCCTCAGTAGGTTTATATATTTGTTATTAAATTACAGTCTACATTCTGAGTGTAATTAACTACATGCGCTCTTTCCTGCGTGTTTTGCAACTGTGCTCTACCGTCTCACATCTTTTACTCAACTTTTAAGGAGTTTATTCTTGCCACTAACTTCCCCCGAAAGCCTCAGTTGCCAAGCAACCGCGGTAACAGCCTCTGATCGGCTCCCTCAGCCTCCCACTTAATAATTGATAACGCTGTAGAACCCATTCATAATTCATAACGGATTATTTTTAGCATTCGTAACACAACTACATTTCCCGTCCGTTTGGAGCTCATTAAAGGAGCCTCCATCATCACCTCGTTGCGAGCGACGTAACGCTTTCTGGCCGGCGGGGGGGTTTCTGTCCGCCTTCATTACGAGCTGATGACTGATGATGATGAGGATGATGATGATGTCTCCTTGTGGGGACCCTTCACCTGCTCAGAGGCCCCGTCATCTTGCGGTATGCGCTTTCCAGGAGGACCAATGAAGACGTCCACGAGACGCGCTCAAAGGCTGCGATCTGTGTGCAGAAAAACAAGTGCGAGGACAGGAAGAGCGGGGCCTTTACCCCGGACTGATAACGGAGTTTTATAAATGTAACACACTGGAGGTTTGCGCTACGGCTTTAGACGGTCCTGTTGATGATGAGACAACGTGGAAACACGCAGTCGGCCTCGATGAGGAGGAAGTGGTTTCGTTCCTTCTTTTCTCCCCACTCCGCCACTGTACAGCTGTGGACAAACACGCCAAGCCAGCGGGTTCTTAAATGGAGACCTTTGTTTAAGAATGTAGACTCTTTTTTTTTTTTCGTCAAATTGATCTGCTGCACATGAGCCAAGCGTAATGGCATCCAGCTGGAGGTTCGCTGCAGAGCGAGGCAGAGTGGGCCGACACTCTCGCTCCGCCTCTCCGCCTCTCCCAGCATCCATTTCACTCTCAGACGGATGGAGCTATTGAACCTTTTTTTCCTCCCTTTTCCCCCTCTGAAGGCTGTGTGTGGTCTCTCTGGCCCGACACTGGGACGTCTGTACCAGCGTGTGTGTCTAATGTCCATGTGTTATTCTTGTGCCGAGGGGTCGGCTTTCAAACTCAAAAATGCGTCCGGCGTGCTTTTGTCTGTCGCTCCTTAAACTCCCGTGCTATAAAATCCTCTGTTTGATTTGGTCCCTCGCTTCAGTGTTTGCCCTCCTCTAAAAACACCCTGACGGCTCCCATTCCTCACGTGTCCCCACGGACATGACCCCATTGTCCCGCTCTGGGGGAGACGAGGCCGGAGGCCGATGGGCTCCGTCGCGTAGCTCGTTGCGCGGCGAACCCCCGGCTGCAGGAGCAGCTGCTCGTCCCCGGGTGGCTTTTGGCTGGCCGGCGGTGCGGTCCGGGTGGGTCAAACCCCATGTCACATGGTTCTGACCCAGTGTGCGCCTGTGGTGGCCCGGTTACAGCCAGGGCGACCGGCCTGGATGTGTGCTAATTGCATGGTTGCGGCCCGTAGGGGAGGCAATGGTAGGTTTAGCAGCGCGGAGGACTGGATGGAAGGAGAGGCCTTACTCCGTAACCCATGATCACGGTCATCTATAAACGGGCTCATCTTTGTTTAGCTCATAAAAAAAAACCCTCATCTGAACCACAACAGTTGGAGCTGCTGCACAGTAACTAAAGCTTTTGAGTCAGCAAAAGACAGAAAATAGAAGCATCATATCGACAAAGAATCTGGGCTTTCGTATATGCAACGTAGCAGGCGATTTAAGTGCTATTTTAACCCAATAACTGAATATGTTTTCTCTCTGTGTCTCTCTCTCCTCCCCGCAGTGGAACCAGCAGACCTCTTGAAGATTTTAGATTTTCCCAGTTTACCTGAGGGTGTTATAAAAACGACAGGTTTCTGCTCACACCGGAGGTCAACACGAGGACCCGATGTGGCTTACAGAGTATCCAAAGACGCCCAGCTGAGCGCCCCCACCAAACAGCTGTATCCAGGTGAGCCCCTCACTCAACACGCGCCTTCCTGTTCTCTCTTTATACTTTTTCTCCTCCCGACTTCAAACCAACCAGGATCATCACTCAGAGGTTGCACTGCCAGCTGGTCTGCTTCACGACCTTTTATCCCGCCTCAGAGTAAACTCTGATTATAACGCCTGGACGTGGCAGAAAGCAATATCTGCTCCCGCCGATCCTGTTTGCGTCCTTCCCCTCCAGGCGGCAGTTTTATGGGCTTCTGTAACGTGATTATTTGCGTCGTCTCGGGCCAGGTACGCCTGATGTTCCTGCCCTCTCTCCCCTGATAGCTCGCGTTAGAAAGCATGCTCGCGTACGTGTAAATGAGTGAGAGCACACCGAGTCACACACATTTAAATGTCCGGGATAATTTAGGGAATTTAAAAAGGGAAGATTAGCCTGCAGATGCATGACAAATCCAGCCCTGTAATATTTAATGTGGCAGAGGAAAAACAGTTAAAATCGAGGTGGAAGAGGGGAGGGAAGTCTGGGGTTCCACTTCTGCCTGCTTCTATTGTGCTTACGTGGCTTTGGGTTACTGCTTTATGGTGTGCTGCAGTAGTTCTTTCCTCTGTCTCCCCTCCCTCTCTTTCCCTTCTTCTCTCCCTCATTCCTTTTTTTTTTTTTTTTAATTTTCCCTCGAGTCCTTCTCTATTTTCCCCCTATCATTTTTCCGAGACCGCCGCTGCCTCGCTGCGATTCCTTTCTTTGTGTTTCACTTAAACGTGGTCCCGCGAGACGCGCCGGGCTCCCTTTTTTCCGTCTTAATCTACAGCGCAGAAAATGCTAAACCGGGACAACCGACTTCTGAAATTATTGTGATTGGATTTCCAAAGAAAGCAAAAAGCGAAAACCTCTCCCCCGCGAGCGAAACCTCCACGGAGCTCGGATTGGGACGGCGGCCCTTTGATCCACGTCGCGGCTCTTCTCTGGGGGCTTAGAGCAAGAGCCGCGAGGCTCATGTGGCCCGCCTGGCCCGACGTGCTCTCCAACCAAACAAATACCCCTCGCTTTGAAGCTGCATGTCGGCAGAGCCCCATGCGAGTCTCAGTTTAGACACACACACACGCTGTAATCATACGTGCAACTCTGCATCGTCCAAAATAACAGTCTGCGTGAAACAAAGCAGCTCGGAGGAGTTCACGCCAGGCGCCGCGCACCGTCTTAAGGTGCAAACGGGGTAACTAGACGTCAATGCATTTTTCACGTGGTCCCTCTCTCGTACGGCTAATGTGTTTCAGAGGGGAGCTCGTTTGAAAACCTTTTTCCTGGAGGCGCCATTCGGCTCCATTATGATCGTCCGTTTATCGTCTGATAAACGTAGAAAACAAAAAGGCAGGCGGACGTGCAGGTTTAGTTGTAATGCCGCGTGGCTCTGATTGAGAGCCCTGCAGCCTGTGACCCCGTAGCTGCAGACAGGCTGGGATGATGTGTTGGAAAATAAGAGCAAGTGCAGACATGCGATCATTAGGCAAACATGTGGAGGGGATGATTCATTTGAACCCACCGAGGCACAGAAAACAGAAGAGTCCTGTGTTACCTTTATGATGTGACGGCAGTGAGGAAAACCCTCTTTAACTTTTATCCCACACACTTCCTCCACGTCTCAGTAGTCTGCGACTCTCTCTGTATCCGCGGGACCTCAAGTGATTTCTGTGTGTTTTCCGCTCTGTGGGTGACGCATTAATCGCAGCGGTGAAGATTACGCGCATGATTTGGAAAGTAGGGACGGTAGTTTTAAAGCCCAGCGAAAAATAAATCTTAACACTATTCCAAATTAAAACATGCAACGTTATTTTGTGCCGTGAACTCGACGAACTTGAAAGACACGCGCATCCGTCTTCATCTCCTTCACCCTCGCTCGTCTGTTTCCCTTTGCACACCAACAGGCACAGACGTCTAATGCACGGGGAGGGAAATGGACACAGCGGTGACTGAATGACCGATTGCAGGACACTTTAGTGGAGGGGATCGGTCAGAATGCTGCCAGAGCTCCGGCCCCTTCTTTGGTCGATGAAGAAGAAGAATTGGGGTGTAGATGTCAAATGCCCTGAACGTAGAATTGGAGACGGGGGTTGTAAACACTCCCTAACTTCCAATGACACCTCTCTGAGACAAGAGAGGGGCCCTTTTATTCTCTTCTTTATTTTCCTTCTTCTCCGAGGGAGGTTCCGCCGTGGCATCTGAATCCTCGGGGTAATCGCAGGGAGGGACACGGTAAACACCAACGCTCAAATGAGAAACCTGGCCGCGTGAATGCTACTTCGCTTCAGTTTTAGAGGCAGGTTTTATTCTAAATTTCAGACCCGAGTGCTCCCGAGTCCATTACTTTGCTCATCGCACGCCCTCCTCTTCGGTGGCGCGGCGTCCCCCTCTCCGCCCGCGGCCGAACCCCCTGACCTCCACACAGAGCAGCCCGTCCTGAGCCGGCGTTCCCTCATGTTCCCTCAAGAGAAGCCAGCTCCAGATGTGCCATTCCTAATCTGCTCTTGATGGTTCTGTGACGCCCTCTGAGCTGAATATAAAAGGGCAGGTGTTAACACTCTGGCACGTAGCCAAGCACTGGAGAGACGCCACGAAGAAACGGCTGAAGGAAGAAGAACCTCGGCCGACCCGTTAAATAATCTTAAACATGGTATTTTCCATTGCGTCAGCATGGGAATTAAAAAAAAAGCTTGTAAACAATTCAGACGTCGAACTCACACCTTGCAAACAAGGTTTTCTTTATGCTTCTAATTGGCATCTTTGGAATAATGGTCTTTCTTAAACTCACATGTTTCTGATATTCAAGCATGTATTAAAAGTTACACTTGTGTTGGACAAAGTTTCTCATACATTTCTAATTAGCTAAGAGAAGAAAAACATACTAACGTAACGAGAACAATTGGTGGAATAGGAACACCGGGATCCCGGAATAGCTCTTCCTGCATGAATCTGCTTTCTTTTCCCATTGCCCTCTTTTGCATCATACCACTTTTATTCCCTAACATCCAAATGTTGCTGTCACAAAACTCCACCCGGCGGCGTTTGAAGGGTTGTCAGTCTCCGCCTCTCCTCCGCCTTTCGCCGTCCTGTCCGAAGCATCCTGTCCATTGAAGCAATCTTTCTCACGCGGTGCCAAGCCGCATTCCTGAGGGAGCGCAGCGCCGAGGCATGCGCCCTCTCCGCATGATGCCATCTGACGCCTGCCATGAACCAAAAGGAGGAATCACGCAAAAAGGGAGGAAGGGGGCAGGAAGGCAAAAAGATTTTTTTATTTTTCTTTCTTATTTCCCTCCGTCTCTCGAGGTTCTTTTGCCCCCACTGCCGCGCTTCGGCCCGTCCCTCCGATTTGACGTCTGCTTCTCTTCGCCGGTTCTGAGAAACTCGGGGCAGAGTAACGGGACGGGGGGGGGGGGTGTCTGCAAGAGGTGCTGCAAAACCAACCTGCCAAGTGATTTCTTTGCTTGTGGTAAACTTGTTTCAGATAGCCGGGTTTCTCTCTACGCAAAGTAAGAATGGCCTTTTTTTCTCAAACTCGCAAGACCCGACGGCCTCGAATGATCTTCCCCTGTTGGCAGGAAGAAGCTGTCGCCTTTCCCCATGGAGGGGAATCTGCGTGGCAGATGTGCCCCGCACTCCAGCAAAATGGAGGAACCAGTTCATGTTGCACAGTGGAACAGCTGGAAGCAAACACCTCTTTTGTTGACGCTCTTTTTTTAACGTCCGTGAATACCAAAATATGATTGGTATTTCCCTACTTTCCATGTCTTAAACTCTCGTATTTCTTCATCTCCGAACCCATTTCGACGTCTGTTAGACCCATCGGCTGTGGGAGGAGAGGAGAGCGGAACAGGAGGGGTTTGAAGGGCAGTTCGACAAAGTCCCCCAGGATCACATGCTCTTGTCATTAAGCTTCTCATCCTGTGCTTTGCTGGAAAATCTCTACTTTGCACCTCTGACGGGCCTCTTCTAACAGCTATTCCTCTCAGATGCATCCTATCCTGCTAAAGCGCCAACTCCACAAACTGTTGGCGCAAATCTCACCTTCCCAATTCTTCCAATCTGTCTCAGCCGGTCTCCTAAAATAACAACCAATACACGGTATTTAATTTGCTCTATGGTGATGATGAACGATTTGCCTCTGTCGGTTCTGCCAGGCGACGTGTTCCCGGAGGACTTTTCCATCCTGGCCACGGTGAAGCCGAACAAGGGCAGCCAGTCCTTCCTGTTGTCCCTGTACAACGAGCAGGGCATCCAGCAGCTGGGCCTGGAGGTGGGCCGCTCTCCGGTGTTCCTGTACGAGGACCACACGGGCCGGCCCGGCCCCGAGGACTACCCCCTCTTCAGAGGAGTCAACCTGGCGGACGGAAAGTAGGTGCACCCGTCCACACAGAGACACGCGCGCACGGTGCGGGATTTCGGAAACGCGTGACGGGGACGTGTTCGAATTTGAGGCGTCCGACACAAGAAAGGGACGTTAGTAGGGGTGGGAATCTCTTGGCACCTCACGATTCGATTCCGATTCAGAGGTCAACGATTCGATTCTAAACCGATTATCGATTCTGAACTGATAAGACGATTATCGATGCTGAGTTTGCTACTCAGAGGTTGCTAATCACTTCCTACTTTATTTCATAATTAAAGAAAATCAACAGATAAATTATCTTCTCTAATTTTTTATAAGAGAAAAAAAAATCTTTGTCACAAATATGATTTTCTATCAACAATGCAAGAACCAATGCAGCTTGCATTTCAACACAATATGAAGTAGCTTATGTAAAAAAAAAAATTAAACAGATTCATTTTTCTTTTAAATAAAGAAAAAGCTGCTCTTAGTCTCAGACCGGTCCGTATTTGTCAAATACCGGAAAAAAGTCCAAATCTGTGAATATCTTGGCAACTTTCAATACAGATCGACTTTTGGGAAAATGGAAATAATGAGGTAATATATGCGCAGGTTCCTCCATAGTTCAATAAAGTAATTAGATATTCAGATTCAGACTGACGGACCGGTCTGCGAGCTGGACGCATTGCTCTTAATGTGCCGGTAATGATGGAAAATGACGGTTGTAGCTGGTTTTCATCTACGGTCCACTACGGTTACCGAAGGGGGGCGTTTGTTTTTCGACATGTTTTATCTTTTTATCCCCTTACATTAGTGCGGAAATGGGCTTCTTTAGTTGTGTGAATGCATCACTCCAGCCAATCCAAAGACGGGGTTTGTAACCAATCAGGTGTAGAGACCATGGTGACTGGCTCCGCCCCCTCACTGTCAAAAAGAAAAACAGCGAGCGCGTAGAAAACACCTTCGAGCGCGAGCAAAGACTAACCTCGCGAGCGAGGAAGTTCACGCTCCGCGAGCGAGCAAATATCTCGCGCGAGATTAATTCCGATTATTAACTTTAATAACTTCGAGACCGAATCGTTCTAGAGAGAATCGAGAGAAATCGACGTTAGCAGCGTGTCCCCGCGGGCAGCACGTAACCCACTAACTGTGTGAAATGACTCCACTCTCCCTTGCAGATGGCATCGAGTGGCAATCAGTGTGCACAAGCAGACCATCACCCTCATTCTGGACTGTAAAAAGAAGGCCAGCCAGAAGCTGCTGCGGAGCCCCCACCCCATCATCGATACCAAGGGAATTGTAGTATTTGGAACCAGGATACTGGATGAAGAAGTCTTTGAGGTGGGCGTAATCTACATGTTTTATTATCATAAAATACTATGTTAAGACAATATACGTAAATGGTATTTTTCTCTATTGTTCTCTTTATAACTGGATTTCTTTTGCTGGTCAAACCTCTCATGTGGCTACTAAGCAGTTAAAACACGGTCCAACTCTAAAAGTTATGTTTCTGGTTTCATTGTTGGATTCTTTCTCTAAATTGGCTTCAAGGTTTTCTTGTTTACAGAGGTTTTTGACGAGTGGCGACGGGTTTTCGTCATTAGAATGCAGGATTCTCTTCTTCCTGCCTTTTTTCTTTCCATGCGTGTAAACGCGTTGTGGCCGGAGATGAAGGACGGCCGTTAATTCTGACTGGTGACAGGAAGCTTTTCCGGGGTTTCTGTTACTTTGCTTTTTCCTCAGTGTGCAGAATGTGAGTTAGCTGGTACAGTTTCCTTAAACAAGCTTTTGTGTGGATATTTGTGGCCCCTCGCCGTGACCCCTGTCAGGAACATGCACGCACAAACACACTACGGCGCACAGCGAGCGCACAAGGCACAAGGAATAAGCGTTGTCTTTGTCCCGGCAGAGTTGTGCTTGTTTAAAGGGGGATTAGTCTGTGACGCCGAGGCCCTCAATAATAATTAGTAGCAGAGGTTGACTGATGTGACTGATGCTGAGCCAGCCGACCTTTAACCTTTACTGCTGCTCAGGGAGAGCAGACGAAAAGAACGAAATATGACGTCACTCCGTCCCCCACAATCCCCAAAAGTTGGTAAAAGATGAGTAACGAGTGAAGCAACACATGCTTTACATAACATTCTTTGGATATTGTTGCCCGGTATAAACACAGCAGGCTAATGTGCACTAGTAAATTCCTTAATCTACCAACAGGATGACTGCATTTATTCTGCACAAATGTAATGCACAGCTGAAATCTCATCATTGCCCGCTGGTCTTTAGATTGAAGTGATGTGGGGGGGCAATTCAACCAGCTATCAGGGTCCACTGGTTACCGTGGGAAGCCAGATAGTGTGTGTGTGTGTGTGTGTGTGTGAGATGTTTGAAGCCCTCCCGCCGTGCGTCCGCCAGTTGGGAGACAGGCCAGGCTCCAGTGCGTGCAGAAAATGGAAAATATGCCACATATTTTCCAAATTACGCTCAGGCCGCGCTCCTTTCCTCCTCTGACTCCCTTCTCCCCTCTGTAGTTTAGTCTGATCCCGTGTTGACTTTCGCCGGAGTCAGTTACCATCAAGAGCACGGAGACCGACACAAAGAAAATAAAAAAGCCCCAAAAGATTTCCACGCGTCCTCAGGACGAATGCATAGAAAGAATTTCCCTATAGAAAAAGAGAAAATCTATGTGTTTTTTTAAATTAAATAAATAAATCATAAAATCAAAACGTATTTATATAAAAAGGCGTAAGGGAGTGAATGCAATGTTTAAGTTTACACTGATTAGTGTAATAGCCTGGCGCTTTGCTTTTACGACTGTATGCAGAGGTGGTTTGTGGTTTGGTTCCTGACATGGTGATGGTGGCCACAGAGAAAGCGCCTACTCTCTGCAAGTACCACAGTGTTATTTAGAAGAAGCAAGAGCTCTGTGGCGAGTGCGAGTGAAGGCATCGCCTGCATAAAGGGACGCTCATCCGTTGCCAATGAGACAGTGATTACTGCTCGGTTATCATTCATGAAGGACCAAGACTCTTCAACAGACCAGCTAATGACTTTTAGTGACTTAGTTGTCTTCCTTGTGGACTGTGGGGTCATGGATGTTGATGATCTAGTCTCTGTGCGCTAGACACCGGAGAGCCGGGTCAGAGGAGCCCAGATCCGGAGAACAAGATGTTCGGGATGGAGAGGAGTGGGGAGCGGCGGCTTCGGCCCGGCGCAGCCAAAAAACCCTTTTGAGTCACACTCTGGAAAGAATGAGGAGCTCTCTTCCCGCTGATGTCAGTGTTGGAACGCCGACCGTGCACCGCATGACCTCATCCAGAGGTTTCCTTGGTATCCGCTGATAGGCTGTCCCAGACCGCCGGTCTGAACGAGAGGGAGGGGGGTGATGTGGTGCATGTGGTGATCGGTCGGTGGAGATGGGAGGGGGGGAGGGGGTCGGAAAAGCGGGATGTGCTTCAGAAGCGGAGGGTTTAGGTAAAGAAATGATGGAATAAAGTAAAAATACAGAGTGGGGGGTGGGGGGGAGATAAAGGCAGTGCGATAAGAGTTGGCGGTTGGCGGCCGGCTGACGCGGTGCAACCAGAGCCAGGGAAAAGTAGTAGGGAGGCGCTCTGCCTGCTTGTCGAGAGCTTTGATATTTGTACACATCCCGTGTCCTCATCTTTACCCCTTGACTTGTGTTCAAGTTCCCTCCATCTAACTCATCGGCCGTTATTTACAGCTCACATGTGTCACTTTGAAGCCTCGATGTATAGAGGCTGTTCTAAATTAACATTTTTTATACTGTAGATTTGACATGACTTCCTTTACAGCAGATGTTAAGCCTCTTCTTGGCCCGCTGTCCGGGATAGTAGTAAAATTGGTCTGAATGGTGTTTCTGGTCCGTGACAAGGCTCCTGTTATTCATGGTGTGTTACGCGCAAATGGCTCTAGCAAAGCTTCTCTAGAAACTTTAAAGTTGACTCTTTTTTTTTTTTAGGATCCCTCGTATCTCCCTGTCCACAGTCCGAGCCACATATTGGCTCTTGACAGTATTGTCGAACACTTTTTTGCACAAACATATTTCTTTTTGTCCAGGGCCGAGAGTCCAGCCTGGGATAAATTAGCCCATTTTCCCACTTGGGGTTAAAGAGCCCAGATTTATGATATTTACACAGCTCTTCTCTTTGCTCTATTGTCCTTTGTTACTAGAATTTCAAACCACTTTGTCCACAGTCGTAATGCCAGTTCTGTAATGTGAAATCCCTTCACGCGTTTGTATGCGTTGTCTTGTCCACGGTTAAAGTCCCGCGTCACCGCCAGAACACGCGCTTCTGTCCCAGGAATGGGGCGCAGACTTCAGTAGCATCCCGGGGGGAAGATGAAGTTTCCACCATGGTAATTAAGAAAATTTCCCTAACTCATGTCAGATGTTTGTCTTTCGCCCCCGTTATTCCCTCTGTTATTCCTCCGCTGTGTCGGCGAGCCCCCCCGGAGTGTCGCCTCAGCACTTCTCTCGTGTAGACTTTCAGCCAAACGCTCAGGATCTACGTCTGCTAGGCGAGGTGAGCCCGCTCCGGTTTCCCGCCGCCCCGAACGAGCAGGAAATGTGAATGTGGTATGGAATTAAAATCTTATACCGAGGGGAGGCCGGGGGCCGTGACGAAGAGGCCCAGATGGGATCCAGGAGAGCAGGACGGGGGCGAGGAGGTGAGGGACTGGAGGTGCTGTGCGGTGGATAAGTGGGGTGGCAGACGGGCCTGTTGCTCTTGGCAGCTGCTCCGACTGTACAGATTGAGCTGCAGCCTGGAGGGGAAAGGGTTTGTGGGTAAAAAACAACAACAACCTTTATGTCTGCTAAAGGTTTAGTTCTGGAGATTTATTGGAGTGAAAGTTCTCTGGAGGCATATGTGCCTTTTTAAACCAGCTTTTTTCTGCATGTACCGAAATGCATCATACGTGTGCATGTGTGTGTGTGTGTGTCCATGCTGATTAATGGCCTCTGCGCGGCGGGCTAACCCCCTGCGACGCCTTGTTTGGCTGCGGTGGTGGGATCGGAGCTCGCCCAGGCGCTGGGGCTGTGTGTGTCGGTGCGGGCTGGCAGAGGGGCCGGGGCCTGGCTCGCCGCTCGGCGGTGACTGTGTAAATATGTCGGGAAAGCAGCTCTCCCCCCCTTAAATGCAGCTCGGACCTCCCAGAGTCTTACGCTGCCCCGCGCGCCCCCCTCCAGTCCGTGTTTTATTCGGTGACATTTAATCAAGAAAAAAAACAACAACTAGACTCTTTCCTCCGGGAAGCTGTTGTGCCAAAGGCCATTGGAAAGTGTCCCAGGGGATTTGGAGAAATAATGAGCATTGATTTGTCTATTTGGGGGGCCTCACTAATCAAAACGAGTGTTCGTCGGGCTCCAAATGCCTCCTGCATACATTTTGTGTGTATACTGTAAGTAAGATATACATGGATGTTGTAACGCTTGTAGTCGCAATAACCGACCCCACTTTGGCCTGAAGTTGTTTTGGACACCGTGCCAGAGGGATCAGCATGACCTCGGTCCACCCTGCATGATTGTGGGTCAGGTTCAGATGGAGCACTCTCCTGCCACCACCTGGACGCATACAGAACATCCAGTATGGGGGGGGGGGGGGGATGTTGATGTGAGATTTGAGTAAATAAAATACAGAGAAAAAGAGAAGGATGCTTCTAAGTGTTACTGATCGGCCTTTGTTCCGCTGCTGTAGTCCTGAAGACTGCAGGATCAGGATTTGGGTTGCCGGTTCAGCGTCCGCATGCAAGCGTCTTCAACAGTTCCTTGAGGACAAAGCATGCAAAGTGGGACTGACTGCTGCCCACAGCCAACGGCCAATGGCCTTTTCCCCGCCGGAGAGAGGAGTCATATTTCAGCCGAGTCCCGGGAGATGCTGACGGCAGTAAGCCTGTTATTGTCCGAAACTTACCGCCGTAAGCACCTCGGTGATGTGTCACGTGGCGCTGCGGCGGTGAAAAACGTCGCCGTTCCCTCTCGAGTGTGAAAGCTGATTGCACGGCTTCCACGCCTCCCCCCCCCCCCGGGGGTTTTTTGTGTGCGATCGTATAATTCCAGGTTTCCTTCCCGCTGTTTGGAGTGCTCCGTTTGGGTGTTCCTATGTTGCCATGTGTCAACCGTGTGACATATATTTCGGTCTGTCGCTGTCTGGGTGAAGTAATCGCTGTTATCGAATTCAGAATCCCTGACTGAGCAAGTAGCGTTGTTGCGGTGCGATTTCCTGTCATCCAAACGAGTGACGAGTCGCCCGCATGTTCATGCAAATATGTCCTCCCCAAATGCGCTGCCGGGGCCGAGTTTACTGCTCACGTGCTGAAGGGGAGTTGATGAAGTTGGCATTAGCGTCCCGCCGGAGTGCAGCACGGGGGGATGTTCACTGCTTGCCTGCATCTATTAAACAGCAGCTTATATAAAGTTGGGCCCCGTAATCTGTTGAGTGACGTGCGGTGAAGAGAGCAGCTGAGGTTGGAAGACGAGGAAATCAGAACCAGCTGAAGCGGGTCCAGATGTTGACAATGGTTTTACTGTGAAGGTGTAGGCCGGTCCACGGGAGGAGAGAGACGTCTCGGCTGATGTTATCAGGGATTCCATGGATCGGTTTTGGGAGTTTATAGCAGAAAGTCGGCGTCATGACTGATACACGTCTGATTTTACATGGAAGCTGCATTGAGGGAAATGTAAAGTATTCAGTTTTCCACTAAGAAAGTTGGCTGCTCGGCATTTTTTTTTTTCTTCTTTCTGCTAGAATTTCCTTCCAGGGGGATTTTTTGTTGTCTCTGATGTTTCTTTGCCCGTCCATCTGCGTTTTGTTCCGTGCGGCGCTCAGAGCCTGACTTCCCCTTTTTATAGCCCAAAACCCTCAGCAGAATAAAACTTCAGACGCCTGGAACCGTTGTTGCCGGACGGTCCAACGCCAGCGAGCACGTCTCAACTCAGGCCCTCCGCCAGTTCCCCAACCAAGCTTCTTCTCCTCGCTCTCATCCCGGCGCAATCACCGTCAAACCTCTCGCGGTCGGGATCTACCGTTGACACTGATCCTTGAAGATGGAGAAAAGGAGTCGGGGGGGGGAAGGGGAATAGAGGGTGACCAGGGAAACGGCTGCGACGCCGCAGACTGACGGGCAGTTGTGTGTGTTTGTCGCCGAGCGCTTACGCCTTGAATTGAATGTGACCTCATTTTCAAACACTGAATCCCCATCGTCCCCTTTGAGCGCAGCTGTTACAAACAGGTCCTGCCAGGATAAGACAAATTAAGGGCTCCCAACACAGCCCCATTTTGTGCCGTTTGGACCAGCTCGTGGTTCTGGGAGGGTTTCGGGATCAGCTTTCTTGCATCCCCCACAAACCCCACTGATAGGATGACCCATCAAGAGGGTTTCCCAAGAGTTATTAAAAGACGAGAGACGGGGATTTTTTTTGTGCGTTGTGTTCGGGTGTTCCAGTGGGGGGGGGGGGGCGATGCTCCTCGTTGAGCTGTCACTGGTTGGACCAGAAATGAAATCCATCCATGGAGAAATTCAGCTGGAAGGTTTTTTTTATTGAGGGGGATTTTTCAGAAAACACTGTTGCGTCCAAGATCGAAAATATATTTCTCCCAGCTAAGTTGACGTCTGATGGATGTTGAATGGCGTCACTGCATTTGATTAGGACACGTTTGGATCGATAAACTACGGCTAAGAAACACACACCCGGCTCCCCCTGCAGCCCGGGGATCCTTCTGAGCCTTTTCGCGTTTCCCTCTCGTTCTCTCTCTCTCTCTTCCTTTTAAATCTCTCACTTCTGCCACCGTTCCACCCCGCTTCACCTCAACATGAGCGCAATATGCGCAAACCTCTCCGCGGCAAATGGTTGCAGGTCTGCTCACGTTCGCCGGTGGATCCATTCGCCTTACGGGATCAGCTCAACATGACCTAGTTTCAGGACCGCCTGTTCCGCATGTGATAATAATGCATGCAGATGTTCCCCCTCATCTCTCTTTGTTTGATTGGCCTCCATTCTAATGACTTCTTGCCTCTTGTGGTTTCCAGGGAGACATCCAGCAGCTAATGATTGTAGGAGACCACCGTGCCGCCTATGACTACTGTGAGCACTACAGCCCTGATTGTGAAGTGCCCGTGCCCGACCAGCCTCAGAACCAGGACCCCAACACGGATGAATACGTGAGTACAGAGACCCCGTCTTTTAAGCGCGGAGCTCACTGTGCAGTCGCACGCACACGAAGGGGGGGGCCAGCGCGATGCCCATTACCAGGTCATTCTGGTGCGTTGCAGAAACATTGTAAAACACGCGCGAGGGCGTTCTCGTGGCCGACCTCACTCAGGGAAGTCCATTCCTCTTAATCTCTAATTGCCTTTAATGCTTAAATCAGATCTCGGGTGGATGCTGTGCTGAATAGAGCCTCTCGGCTAATGCAGGGGGAACCGCACTCTGCCAGAGTAAAGTGCTGAGTGGGAAGAGCCGGGGTCATCGGGCCCTGCAGTTAGTTGATAATGTTGAGGAGTCATGCCTGAGCCTGCTTCCCCTGCCCCATACCGGCACGCTGATTAAAGGTGTGTAGGAGAAGTCCTTCCTCTCTGCCCCCCCCCCCCCCCGAAGGCCTGTCGGTACGCCTGCTGCACAAAAACACGACCTGTTGTTTCGCTAAAGATGTGGGTCAGTCCCATTCGGGAAGCGGTGGAGGAGTCATTTGTCATTCCCCGGTAACAAGTTGAAACAGGGAGGTGCAGCGCGAGCTCTCGGGCGAGTGGAAAGCATTCCTGCGCGCCGCTGATCGATGGCCGGCCTGTCGCACATATATCACGCATTTTTTACCCCCTCAGTCACACTGAGTGTCGTGCTTTACCCCTTTAGAACACAGAGGAGGACAGCTACTATTATGAATACCCTTACTATGAGGACGTGGACGCCAAGGTTTTGGATTCAACATCTGTTGCCGAGACCGCCACAGAAGAACCCAAGGTAGTCCACATGTATACATATATATATACATATAATATGCGTCGTGTAGCTGTACAATTACAGGCACGCCAACGCAAGAAAGGTAAACCGTGTTGTCCACGCCTTACAGGTGACTGATGCAGACAGCGCCGATACCACATGGGAGGAGGTTGTGAGGGGCTCCGGCGCCATCGGCGGCAAAGTGTTAACCAGCTCATCCGGCTCGTCCTCCGGCTCGTCCTCCAGCTCCTCATCCAGCAGCTCATCCAGCAGCTCCTCCAGCAGCTCCACCAGCAGCTCCTCGGGCACCGGCGGCGGAGACGCCTACGGAGAGGAGACCGGCCCCGACGACAGCTACGGCTACTACGACAACTTCTACGACGAGACCACGCCGTCGCCCAAAAGCGACGACTCCCGCCACATCACCATCAGCGGCTCCGCGGGCGAGGTGGACCTGGGCCTGGGGGCCGGCGGGAAGATTGATCTGGGCACAGGGATCGAACTCCAGAGAACGGTCACCACCGGCGGAGGAGGATCTTCCATGACCGTCACCACCAACTTGACATCGGTACGTTGACGTTGACACGCCTGTTCTTTACTTTGTTGCAGACTGTGTGCGAGTCCTGCCCGTGACCACGTGAGCAGGGCCTCCTTCGGGCCCGTCCTCATGTTGACTGAAACCTCATTATTGGGTTATTATAGGGAGGTTCCTACGACTACGGCGAAGGGTACGATTATGACTTGGAGGACAAATACAACGCCGGTGCGGGCGGCGGCAGCAGCAGCACGGTCCACATCGGAGGCGGAGGAGGCAGCAGTTCGGTCAGCGGAGGTGGCGGCGGCAGCAGCAGCAGCACGATCCACCTCGGAGGCGGCGGCGGCAGCAGCAGCAGCACGATCCACCTCGGAGGCGGCGGCGGCAGCAGCAGCAGCAGTACGATCCACCTCGGAGGCGGAGGAGGCAGCAGCAGTTCCGTTCATGTCAGCGGTGGCGGAGGAGGAGGCAGCAGCAGCAGCAGCAGCACAGTCCACCTCGGAGGTGGAGGCAGCAGCAGCAGTTCCACCATCACCATCGGGGGCGGCTCTGCGTCAGCAGGAGGTGGTTCCGTCTCCGGAGGCGGAGCGGCCAGCGCCGGAGCCGGAGCGGCGGGCTCCGTCGCCACCGGACAGGGCCAGGGCGTGGAGGGCGACGGCGACTACTCGGACCTGGAAGACGGGTTCAAGGAGGAGGACCTCACCGACTACAGCGACCTCGACCTCTACGACTCCTATGGAGATTACGGCGACAAAGACGTCAAAGTCCTGCCTGCCGAGACCGATCAGCGCTATGAACAGGTGAAGTAATGGTGGCAGCACACAGCGGCAGAGAAGCCGAGGGTGTCATGACGACGGCGATGGCTGATTCCGTCTCTGCTCTGGGTGCGCAGGTCAACGGAGCTCGTGGCGAGAAGGGACAGAAGGGAGAGCCTGCTGTTATTGAGCCCGTGAGTATCACTCCCTTCCACAGCGTACTCCAGCAACAGATGTAGGCGGCGCGCTCTGGTGTGCGCGCGCGTGTTTACATTTGCCGCTACATATGTATGATCCACATCCAAACACAATCGGCCTCTCACTCGCGAATGAGATGCCTCAGACATTCCAGGGGGGCCTTTTTCTCGCAGCATCCTTCTGGCGGGCCGGAACCTAACAGCCAAACATTTGGAGAGCGGACGTGCAGGCATTGTCAGTAATCTCTGAACACACTGTGGGAAGTGTGTAAACACAGGCCGAGTGGGAGGATGGGGAGGGATACAAAATGAACAAAAGGGGAGCAGGAACGCCCTTCCTAAAAAAAAAAAAATCCCTTTTTTAAAAGCAAAAGAGGGTGAATGCACCCAACCTTTATTCAGGCACTCCCACAGCGCTCACAGGTGAGGACGACTCCTTTGGGCCTGCTTGCTAAGGCACACGCGGGCGGAATTTACATCCCTCACACAGCTACAGCTGTTTCTCTTCAAACAAATGTCACTGAGCTCCACTAAGTATACATCGCTCCGTGACTGATAGTCTGCATGTTTATGTGTGTGTGTGAGTGTGTGTGTGTGTGTGTGTGTGTGTGTTACTAGGACGGCCGCTTGTGTAAGTTTGAGGGAATTTGTGCACACGTCACCGCCCAGTGTGACTCGTCTTCTTGTAAACCACTAAAGTACCAGTAACACATACATACACACACACACACACACACGCACACGCACACACTCACTCTCCCCCGCGTCTAGCAGCTCTTCCCGTTTTCCGGGGAATCAATCGCAGTGATTTTACGGTGAAAAACGTCGAGAGAGTTCATCTCAGCATTTGATGGCAAACACCACAGGCTCCAAATGAGTTATGATAGTGCGTGTTAGTCTGTGTTTTTGACTTTTTGAATGTTACCGCAAGAGCAACAAACACAACGGGCCCAAACAGCTGCAACAATGCGTGTGTGAGTCGTTTTTAGCTGTGGGAATAAACGGTTAGAAATAACTTGAAAGGCTTTGTTATAGAAATACACCCAAGCATAGAGGCACGTTGAAACTGGATTCCCGTCGCATGCATGAGAACATATTTGATCAGACAGTTTAAATTAATAAAGGATTCGCCTGTCTGGCTCTGCAGACACTCACACTGCTTCTCTCCATAAATGAATTGCAAGCACAGCTGAAATGACAGACGGGAATGCACATTAAGTCAGCAGGGACTTCAGGAGTGAAACTTGATAGGCAGGTGTGTCGGGACACGCACTCGTGTACGCTCACCCCCCTTCAGGCCGCTGATATTTGTGGCCGTGGGAGTCTTGTGGTGACGGAGGATATTTGTGCTTGTGTGTTTCAGGGGATGTTGGTGGAGGGTCCGCCTGGGCCTGAAGGGCCAACAGTAAGTCTTTTCCTTCCGCACCTCCTCCCTTGTGTCCTCATCTTTTTCTAATGTGTTTTTCTTCTTCTGCGTAATCACTGTTCTATATATAAAAGCCAACAATGGTCGGTGGCAGCCAGTCTTTGTGTGCGTGGAATTGGAAAATTCAATGTTCATTGCTTTGCTTTAAAAAAAACAAAAAAACGCTTTCCCCCAAAGAGATACGGACTTTCCCAGATGTTCAAGAAGTCAATTATTTCTCTAGGACGAATGTTTCAGACACCGTTGCTCTTGACGCCCTGCGGATGGAGTCCCACAGAGACCAGCCATCCAAGCTTTACACTATAGACACATAAAAAGCGCCTCGCTCTGCATTTAAACTCATCAAGCCGCCCCGTGTTGCCTCATGCATTCCTTTCCCCCCCCCGTGTGTGGCCGCTTTGCCAGATAAAGGCGAGTCTCTTTGTGATGCATAATGTATGATATGTATCATAAACGTTTTTTTTTGCCGACCGTAGGGTCTCCCCGGACCCCCAGGTTCTTCCGGCCCACCAGGCAGTCCAGGAGATTCTGGAGAGAGGGTGTGTTTAAAAATGATTCGTATCACTCAGAGTTTCTAATTTCTTTAGAAAACAGAAACTGACCTCATTTCTGTCCCTGTGTGTGTGTGTGTGTGTGTGTGTTGTTTTCCACGGAAGGGTCTCCCGGGTCGCTCTGGTCTTCCCGGTGCTGACGGAATGCCAGGAAGCCCTGGAACTGTGCTGATGCTACCTGTAAGTGAATTACGTCTGTCTGAAATAGGAGATCAAATGAAGCAGGAGTGTGTGTGTGTGTGTGTGTCTGTGTGTTATCTCAAACACTCACATGTGGTTTACAGCGTGGCGGAGCGAAGGGGGTTTCCTTTGAAACCACTTTCGATACGGGGGGGCCGTCCCTCGCAAATATCTAGTACTGTGAATCGGTGCTTTAGCGGCCCCCCGTGGTACGTTCAGCATCGCGGCGCCCTTCTCCGTCACTTCCAGCGCCGTTGTTTTCACACGTGGAATCTGAACATTTAACAGCTTTCCCTCCCGACGTAGTTTTAACTAAAGCCCCGTGGCTTCGCCAACATTTTAGATGTCCCAGCAGTGGAAATGCGACTTGATCCCCGAGCTCCTGGGCTAATGGGAAACACGCATTGTTGTTCGACATGACAGGGTTGAAGTGCGTTCACCAACACTGTGTGTTGGCTCAAAACGATCCAGAGACTAGTGATGCATCTGCTCTTTATTTTACTGTGCCCCGTGTGTATCATGCAGCTCCCACAGCTTTGCTTTTCTCGCTGGCATTCGCTTGTCGACAATTGAATGTAAGCGGAACATTTTGTTCAAGGTTCGATGATGCAGAGGAATGTGGGAGAAGAAATGCTTATTAGAGAGAGAGAGAGAGAGAGAGAGAAAGAAAGGGGATAAAAGGGAAGGAAGAATTAAAGACAGACCGAACGGCACAGAGAGGCAGGCAGGCACAAAAAAAAACAAAAAAAAGCTGCATGTATTTCATTGTGACTAAGATTGTAAAGAGAAGGGCCAATATTTAATCAAACTCAGTAGAAGAAAATGTGAGATTGGCACGAAAAAGTTCTGTATTTATCTGTTTTATTGTTGGTGACCCGCAGCGGCTCTGACTCATCCCCGATGTTCATAATCGGCTGTTTATGTGTTTGCTGCGTGGCAGCAACATTCCTGCGACGGTGCATTCCGGCGCAGGGATCTTCAAGCTGTGCTGCATCTGCGAACCAGCCTGTGCAACGCGGGCCCAGAGAGGCCGAGGCGCTCGGCCCGATCAGACCTGCGTTGCGCCGCCGCCCTGTGGTGCAATGCCGGAGTATCACCAGCAGATGCCAGTAGAACTCACGGTGCGCCGTGTGATGGGGCCGGCCTGACAGCTGGAGGCGGACGCTTAGCTCAACGTTCGCTGCGGGGTTTTTAGGGTTCGGGAAGACATTTGAATAGACATCGTCCGGGAGTAGATTCAGATGAGACGTCCACGTCGCTGCAATGGTCGTTTCCCATCTTTCTCGGCTGTTGCGTTCGCCGGTGCAGCCCAGTGACACCAGCCTGTGATTCCCTCCACAGTTCAGATTCAGCGCTGGAGGCGACTCTGGTCAGAAGGGACCTGCTGTATCAGCGCAGGAGGCCCAGATGCAAGCCATCATGCAGCAGGCCAGGGTACCGCTTCACACGTCAACACGCCGCAGCAGTCAATACTGTGCTCATGCTGTTTTTTTTTTTTTTTTTGCTTCTTCATTTATTTGATTTATTTACCTTTCTGCATGCGTATGTTTTCTGTTCTATCTTCATTGTGATATGCGTGCTCTTGTTTTGTCATCATTTATTTTCTTTATTTTATTGTTTTTATTTTATCACCCCGCCATGGTCACAAGCGGGCATAATTCACACACAGCGCACACGCAAATGCGAATGGATAAATCCATGTGACGTTTAATCAGATACGGTTACATGTACAGCCGCTCTCAATGTTATACACCCTTCAACACATGCGTATACATCATTTTTCATCCTTTTTACTTGATGCCGACTGTCCTCTTTCAGCTGGCCATGCGCGGCCCCACAGGGCCGATGGGTTTGACCGGACGATCCGGCCCTCTGGTATGCTTTTTACAACACACACACGCTGAAGATCTATGGAAATATGACGTAACAGTTATTACACAAACAGTGTGTAGCTGAGTTAAGAGTGTGTATTAGTTCATCGTGCTTTTCTTTCCTCTCAGGGTCCTCCCGGTGGATCGGGACTGAAGGGAGAGTCTGGAGAGGCAGGTCCTCAGGTACGAGATATGGGTGTAAAAAAAAAATCTACAGCTGTAATGATTTGCAACGTTTACTGTGCACGTATGACATTACCAAGATGCATAAAACAAAGAAATGCTTCTGAGTTTAATCATGTGCTTTTGTTTCAGGGACCACGTGGACCTTTGGGCAGCTCGGGACCCCCCGGAAAGCCTGGCAGACGGGTACGTGTAACTTGAACTGACGCGTGTCTCAAATTTAAGGCACGTTCCGGTCCCTGGTGGTTCACTCACAGAGACCGTTTTGGCAGACATGTTGCGTGACTCTCGGCGTCTTCACAGGGTCGCTCCGGAGCCGACGGGGCCCGGGGCATGCCGGGGCAGTCTGGACCCAAGGTACCCCGCCCACCGCCTTCACAATGCAATTTTAAAGTGTCTCTTAGTACCGATCTGAAAAGTGGTGCGTTCGGGAGCCTGAACCGCGTTTTTCATTGTTCTGCAGGGGGACCGGGGGTTCGATGGACTCTCCGGACTTCCCGGTGAAAAAGGACACAGAGTGAGTGATGTCGTGTTATTACGTGTGTGCATTCGTTTCGATGCGTTCCCGCTGTTGAATCTAAATGTTTGTGGCTTTAGGGTGAATCGGGCCCGTCTGGACCTCCTGGCAGTCCCGGAGAGGATGGAGAAAGGGTAACAGAAAGACTCACAACTTCACGCCTCTACTTTTCTCTATTCTCATTTCAAAGAGGCAGCTTGTGCGCGCTCGTGTGTCATGTTCCTCAGTCGTTGGTGGAATCCTGCAGGAAGTCTCATATTTTGCCCTTTTTACCCAAATCTCAGTTCGCCGGCTCTGGAATTTTCCACTTATTCCCATTTTTGTATAATCACTGGTACCTTTTATCGGCCTATAATCACCCTCCTCATTACCCGACCCCCTCTTTCTGCGGTGCCTTCCCGTTGTCTCTCTCCCAGCGCACACATGCACACACCCCTCCGCTCTCCCCCTGTTGCAAACTCTTACCCCTCATCTCTCTCTTTCCCAGGGAGACGACGGGGAGATCGGACCCAGGGGACTTCCCGGTGAATCAGTGAGTGATCCCGTGTATTCCCATTCAAGGTTTTGAGTTTGAGGGAGCTGAGGGGGGGGCCTTCGCTTGACTCGTCATTTTATCCGCTGATGTTTCGTCATGTGCAAGAGGAGCTCTGCAGCTGGGAAACGCCGGCGGCTCACATCAAGCTTGTTAGGAAAAAAGCCTCCCACTCCATCTCAGGATATTCCCCCTGCAGGAGGAGACGGAAAGGGACGAGGAGGCAACAGAAAAGCCCTCGATAGCTGCTGCTGTTGCTCGCTTTGTCCACCAGGGTGTGCTGTGTCGGTTTGCATTCACCGGGTCTCGATAGGCAACGGTAGCTATTAGGGCGAAGCGCGGGAATATAAAGCGACGCTCGACAGGCAGAGCCGCGGGGAATTAATGGGTAGTGGAAAACAAACCTTTCCATCACTATCAGACTTGGTAGAACATCCTCAAGGACGTTTGGGGCGTCACGTCGTTTCCACAAGTATAATTTTGAAGCCCGAGTGTTTAATAATTCATCAAGCCTTTCACAGGTGTGAGATCCCTCCCAATCTCATTTCCCCCCCTGTTTGCTTTTCCTCTGTAGGGGCCCCGTGGTTTGCTTGGACCAAAAGGACCTCAGGGACCTCCAGGACCCCCTGTAAGTCCCCTCGCCCTCCTCCCACCTTTCCATGTGCAATAGATTCACAGTTTAGAAGTTTTTTTTTTGCCATCTCATAAAAGAAAATCCCCTGCAAACAACACCAACAGGGAAATAACTCAATGTATTCCAGACAGCATACACAAACAGCAGCGCACGTTATTGAGTTAAACTTCAGCGCTTCAGACAAATGTCTACAGCTGAAATTGAATGTTAATACTGTTTCAAATGATTTAATTCAAGGCGGACATTGTGCATCAATCAAACAGCTTATTTTGCACCGTGCAGGAAGTAGATTTACCACATAAAATAAATAAATCATACCGTCGCAAAGCCAGCTAAAAGTATCACCAAAATACTAACCTTTGTAGTCTATTTCAGAAGCGCCGGACATTATTTGTGCTAAACGTTGTGTTCATCCCCACTGCTGTAGGGCGTAACCGGGATGGATGGCCACTCTGGACCCAAAGGAAACATAGTAAGTGAAGCTGGAATCGATTCAAAGGCCAATATGCTGGAATAAAAAAACCCCAAAACAAACACACGCAGTGGTGTTTTCACGACTTTTGGGAACATTGCAATGATTCAGATCATGAAAGCGTGTACTAACTCTAACCACACCTGCTCCCCTGACCTTATTTTAAGTCTCGGGGACGTTAGAGCGTCCCCATGTTGTCCTGAAATAAAAGGCGAGTCCCCACAGTGTGTGAAGTGATTTATGTCCTCACCACATGGGTTAAGCACCACTCCTCCCCCTTACACGCACAAAAACACGCACAATTACGATCGCAGGATACTGAACCGATGATGAAGGATAGACCGGCTGCATTTAGGTCCACTCACCCCCCCGCCCCGTTCCACCGCCCCCCCCGGCCCTAATGACAGAATACCTGCCGGTCTGTTCCGTTGAAAATGTTCCAGCCAGGTAGAAAGGAAAGACCAGCCGCTTTGACTGGACCCGGGCCACGTAATGGATTGTGTTATGTGTGTTTGTGGTTCAGCATCTCCTGTCATTAGCAGAGCAGGTGTCAGACTGAAAGCAAGATATTGTTCTTTTTTCTGTTTAGGTATAAATGCATTTTGTGTTTAATGGACCTTATGGAGAAGCAAATCTGTCTTCCCTTCATGAAGCTGCTTTTAGTCAACTAAATTATTTAAAATATTTATAATGAGATTTCTAAAATTACCTTTTGATTTTCTACAGGGACCTCAAGGAGAGCCGGGACCTCCCGGGCAGCAAGGCAACCCGGGTACCCAGGTCAGTGATGAACAGGTTGTCTGTCATTTGATTTTCTCTCATCCATCAAATAAATTGTTCTGAGCATTTTCTATTCTCTCCGCAGGGACTTGCAGGGCCCCAAGGAGCCATCGGGCCGCCAGGAGACAAGGTAAGACATCACAAGACCCCCCGTGCTACTATAACCATGTGACAGGTCGGTTCTGCAACCCCACAGGAAAAGCAAGAGCTGCCAGCTCGATGAAACGTCAAATAAACGCAGACCAGAAATCTGTAAAATGGCAGGAAATTGTCTCCTTTATTTGCATGAGCTGAAAGCCGAGTTGCTCTTATCACACGTGCATCCACATCACAGCACACAAACAGTGCCTACTGCAGACTTTAATCCTGATCAATGTTAATCAAATTTCAGCTTAATCACATTTGCCTGTTTACACGCAGGGTATCCAGCTCACGATTTGAATGACGTGAGATTGAATAATATAAATTAAGCACCAGAATGCTGCAGTATTTAGTGAAAGAAAACACAATGAAATGAGAAAGAGATGAAGAAGTGAGCGCAGTGTTAGCATGCCCACGTTAGCCCGGAGCTAATGGCATGATTCTTAAGACACCTCCAACCCCCGGATTGCTATGCGTCGTATCACTCAGTGACTTCCTAGCTGTCCTAACGTCCTGTCCTCTACACAGGGTCCGACGGGGAAGCCGGGCTTGCCAGGAATGCCGGGAGCTGATGGTCCACCGGTGAGTTCACACGTGCCACAAACGAACTGCTCCCATCAAATCTCTAGTTTAAGGGGGAATTAGAGAGCGGACGCACTCTGCAAGGCCTCCTGGTCCTTTCAGCCTCTGTGGTTTAGGAATGGATGTTTTTATTTCATCCACGTGTTGCCTCCTCCATCCAGCGCAGTACCCTCAATGGTCCTTCCTTGCCCCTCACCTCTGTCCTCCCTGGCATCCATTTCCTTCTCCTTTGTCTCTCACATCACAAAGAAAGCACCGGGGGGCTTTGCAGAGCTCCTTTTCCATTTTTGCATCATCATCAGTCCGTGTAATGTTTTGTGAAGTCCTGGTTTTTGGAGCCCAGTAGTAGCCGGTAACGTCTGTATAACACCGGTGCTTTAGGGCAAAAAAAAATCCCAAATGAGATTAATGATTTAAAGCCTTTATTGCGATTTTTCACAATGATTCAGCCTCACATAGTTAACAACTCAATCCCTCAGTTATAGTGGGCGTTGTAGTATTTATAGACGTAATTATCCTGAAATAAGATTCAATAATGTTTCTCTTAATTATTCACAGGGTCACCCCGGAAAGGAGGGACCTTCCGGAGAGAAAGGACACTTGGTAAGGTTTATCTCTCACTTTTGGAGATCGCATGAGTATTTTCTCTTAATTTATTCATGCTTTTCTATGTTCTTTTTCCCTCCCTTTGTCATAGTTCACACACATTTGCATAACACATTTTGCATACATCTAGATAACATTAGCACTGTGCCTGTTTCCTAATTGTGTGCTCGCCGTGTGTCTCCCCAGGGCCCCGCTGGCCCTCAAGGGCCCATTGGTTACCCTGGACCCCGAGGCGTGAAGGTGAGACGATCGCCCACCACTAATACATCCCCTCCGTAACTATTATGGGCTAATATTTGTTGTATTGTTAAAGTGTTATTATTTCCAAGGCTTTTCTAACAAATCGTCTTTGTAAATTTTGTTAAAAAGTTCAAATAAAAGCTTCATCATAGGGAACAGAATAGAATAGCCTCAGCTTTCCTCCCGTAAAACATGAGAACGATTCCAGTCGTGCATAGATTGAGATAGTCAAGTCATCCACTCACATCTTTCATCTCTCTGCTCACGTGAGGCTTTTATTCGGGCTGATCCCGGCTCACGGCACACATCCCTTCCTTAGCTGCCGAGCGAAATCCATTCAAATAAAATGGTGGCGAGAGGGCGTGACTGATGGAATCCTTTAGGCTTCCACTGAGAGAGGGGATCACGCAAAGGGGTTTGACCGCTGGCTAAAAGCCCCCCAGTTTCATGGGGCGGGGGGGAGGGATTTTTGGTTTAGTTTCAATGAAGCCATTGCAGTGTGCACCCTCCACGACCCCCTGGTTCCGCCACCTTTGAAGAAAGGTTGAACCAAAGGACTGACAGTCAGCTGCATCACAGCTCACACTCCCGCCGGCCTGTAACGTCCGTCTGTTCTTGCGTCCCAGGGAGCGGACGGCGTGCGCGGTCTTAAAGGACACAAGGGCGAAAAGGTAAGAGGCCTCGGACTTATTTGCAGAGAAGCTGTCAGTGTGTCTCATGCTAATGAAGATCTCAATGAAATCCTGTTTAACTGAAGCTGGTACGGAAGAGGGAAGAAAAATGATCAAGAGTTTCTATGGCAACAGGGGATCTTGCCAAGACTCTGCATCTGTGTGTCTGCGTGTGTGTGCTTGCCTTCTAGTGTGCGTTTGGATATTAATTCCATACAAATAGTCTCAACATCTGTATTATTCCGTTGGCTCTTCTTCACTGCATCCTCACCTCCTCGCCTCCTTTATTCTCTCGCCAGGGAGAAGATGGCTTCCCCGGCTTCAAGGGAGACATGGGTCTCAAGGGCGACAGGGTAAGGCTTCAGCAGCATGAGTCCATCACACCTCCCACGTTCGAAACGCATTTCAAAGGAGTCAAACTAATGAGACGAAGTGTTACGTCCGCTGTTGGGGGGGAGGAGGGGGGGGGCGCGACCTTTACCTGAAACCGAGCGAAATCACCAGCCACGTCCTGAGACGTCGGCCCCTCCTGGCCGGAGCCCGTGTGACCGCCGCGGTGGGGCATTTCTGGGCAACGAGCAAACATGAGGTGTTGCTCCTAAAGCCAGCTGCCAGCCCAGCTAATCCCTCTTCTCGGCCCTCTTGTCACTTTCCGGGTCGGCGACTTGAAGGGAGAAGTTTGGCAGGTTTTGCCCGGGAAACCGTTTCACTTCTGCAAACTGCACAGGGGGAATTACGATGTCAGGCAGTGGAGTTTTTTTTTTTTTTTTTTTACGGCGAGAAACATAACTCGCTGTAACCTGTACTTCAAACATCCCTCACCGCGCTGCCCGTAGCTGGATACAGAAAGGAAGGAGAAATCAATGGCACTCTAAACCCCCTTCAAACCCGAGAAGGGGCCCACGGGGGCCGCGGCCCCTCCTCCTCTGGAGACGTATCAGATCCGCAGAAGGCAAAAGGCTTTGAGGAGGCCCTCCGCGCCTGGAGGAGTCGCACATGGGGCGGAATCCAAATCACCTCGTTTTTTGAAGGAGAAAAAAAAAAAAAAAAAAAAAAAGAGACAAGGAGTCTGTGCGAGTGCTTAATTCAAAGTGTTGTCTTTGATGAGCTTGCAAGTACGAGTCAAGTACGCTTTGCTTGACGGCGTTTTATGTGCGCCGGAGTCGGCCCTTTGAGCAGAAACCTCTCACACACCACTGCGTCTCCTGCTTGTCAGAGCGGGTTTGTACTCCGTCATTTAGCCGGCGTCCCGGGGAGGGAGTGGGTGGTGGTGGTGGGAGGGGAGGGAGCGCGCTGGCCGAGAAAAGCAATAATAGGGTCGCTTACTGCTCCGAGGGGCGGCCGGCTATGGGACAATAGCTTTACTTGATTGTTTCTGCAACTGGTGCTCCCGCAACGCTTTTTAAAGGGCGCCGCGAGTCACCCGGAGGGGGCGGAGTCGTTTGCTTGACAGGAGAAAGGGCTGCGGCACAAATGAAAATGTTCTGAAATGATAAAACCTGCACGTGTATCGAATGACTTCCCCCCGTTGTATGTTTCTATCACATTATATATTTATGATCGAATAATCAGGAACCACAGTTTAGGTTTCGGGGCGATAAACATCCAGAGGCGATATTGAACATAATGAACCTGCAGCAAACATCAGATGTTATTGCACATTGATAATTTGCGACTGGTGGCCAATAATTTAGCGAAGCGGAACTGCATGTTAATGATTTAAGTATTAAAATAAACAAAAAGAAAAGGGCGTTACTATGATTTGGCTTTGCTGCTGTTCATTTCATTCATTTTTCTGTAGTTTATGTTAAAGTACGTGCAAATAAGCGACAGCGTGTACGTCCCATGTGCTTTCCAGGGAGAGCTTGGACCTGCAGGACCCAGAGGAGAGGACGGTCCCGAGGGACCAAAGGGTCGCTCGGGGCTCCCGGGAGACGCCGGCCCTCTGGGAACAAGCGGTGAGAAGGTGAGGTAACAGTTAGTTAATGTCTCCAGTTTGAAAGTAAAGTCATTCTAAACACTCGGTGCTGTTGAACTGACCTCTGACATTATTGGTCTTCTCTAGAGGACGCGGCCTCTCGCGGGTCTTTTACTTAAAGGCACAAACAAGAGACTTGAGTAGTTGTTTTAGAATTATATTATCTAATTTTGCTTTTCTCGTTGGCAGGGCAAACTCGGCGTGCCCGGGTTGCCAGGATACCCCGGGAGACAAGGCCCCAAGGTAACGGCGCACTTGCATCGCTCCGGAGTCATTATTGTCACAATCCTCACATTTGCACGGCGGTGTGCTTTGCTGAACTTCTGATGACTAATCCTTTAGCGTAGCCGCGGCCTGACGCGCACGCACGCTCGAAGCTCTCTGTACAGAGAGCCGGGGGGCTTTGAAAATGCCTTTTGGTGTCAGCTCTCAGCTCTTCACGTGACAAACAATGAAACGCCGCTTTTAATCTGCGGCTCACGTGTTGCGTTTAATGTCGCGGGGATATCCGAGGGAAATAAACATGGGATGTTGTATGTAAGGTGCGTCCCTCAAGCGATTAATTACGCTCTCGCTCTCACACAGGGATCTCAAGGTTTCCAAGGTTTCCCAGGCGCCAATGGAGAGAAAGGAACTCGGGTAAGTCAGTGAGGCTTCTTATTATTCTCCTCATTCCTACACGGGCTGGATCAATACCACCGAGGGGGCTGCTGTTCAAGCTCTGCATTTATCAAAGTAGAGGAAGTTGCTTGCCTCTAAAATAAAGATTTTTCACCAAGGACAGAGAGACAATTACATTCCTTCTTCTTTACAACTTACACAACTCATTGGAAACCACCAAAAAGCGATGTTTATCGCTCTGCGGCAGCCGAGCCATGTTTCATTTCCTTTGTTTAAGGGACGGGCCATTAGCGAGAGTAATGGTTCGCCACCACGAGCGGAGCAAAGGCACACACAGCTTTTCGTCCTCACTAAATATTTGTGATGGTTTATGAAACTCTCGGACAAAAAGGGATCATTTTGTAGTTCCAGCGCACTCTTTTCTGAAACAAGATATAATTGCTTTTCTAATTAAAACCGTATGAAGCCATTGTAATACTAATTACAATTCTCACATCAGGCATTATTATTAATCTGATGTAAGTAAGAATACATGTGAATGTCCAAATGAATGCTACAAGATGACCTGCTTTGATCACTGTGTGCGTTTGTCCTCCGTGTCCACAGGGAACAGCGGGGAAGGCCGGCCCACGCGGACAGAGGGGGCCGACGGTTAGTCTTACTCAGCAGACTCGCGCTCGTGTGCAGATGGCCAGCTTGGCACTTGAAGGGGGTGGAAGTTCCTCCTCGGCTTGCATGAGGGGGAACCCGCGTTGATCCCACGTCTTCCAACACCTTTGTCTTTTTCTGCAGGGCCCTCGAGGAGAGAGGGGACCGAGAGGACCGACGGGGAAAGCCGGACCAAAGGTGCCACAAATATTTCACCGCCGCCGCTTTCTTGCGTGCTTTGCGGTGCGAGTTCACCACTTACTCCCTACGTTCTCTCTTTAGGGTACCTCGGGAAATGACGGCCCGCCAGGACCGCCCGGGGAGAGGGTATGTACCGTCACGTGTCTGTCATTTAATGCGCATAATATGTCAAACGTAAACGGAATATTGACCAGGGAATCACTCGTTGTGGATTACAGGGTCTGCCAGGGCCTCAGGGACCAACGGGTTTCCCTGGACCAAAGGGACCTCCTGTGAGTCACACCCAAAAACACACAACCGTGAATACGAACCCGTCCTGCCTTGTCCTTTGTCCTTCTTTTGCCCTCACATTCATAGAACAACTGTTTGTGTTCCTCAGGGACCTTCAGGGAAAGACGGACTGCCTGGACATCCCGGACAGAGAGGAGAGACTGTGAGCAAACGAGATGATTCCTCAGCTCTTCATCTTTATTCCACCGAGTCAGTCGTGCGATGATGTAAATCTGTTTTTTTCTTCTTTAATAAACAGGGATTCCAAGGCAAGACCGGCCCCCCTGGCCCTCCCGGCGTGGTTGGACCTCAGGTGAGTCACTGGCGCTTCCTGCTATAGGGCTCCCTCACAGGTACACTGTATGGTCTCATATAAGGTTCTGTAGAACAATAAATATGCATCTCAACATGTTTAAATACTTAAACTCACCTGCATGCACCAATACCTATACATCACCACCATGACATAAGTGTTGTTTATCCTCTCACATATTAGCATGTTACATTTCCCCATTATGCATAAGCGTTTAGCAGACTTCCCCTCCCGGCCGTGCCGATAATGCCAGAACATTGATGATAATGGAGCTGTATGTGACCTGAATGACTAGTAGACCTCCTACGCAGCAAATGCTCGGCTTCACCGCGCCGCGTTTCATAATAGATGGAGGAATCGTAAGACGTTTTTGGTATTGAGTTGCTGATTTCGCTCACAGTCATCCTCCGTAGTTTGTCTTCTTCACACCTCCTCTGCAACCTGGTTTCATAAGTGCGGGTTTTCTGGGACTGAATTGGTCTTTCTTTTCAAATTGCAGGGATCAAACGGCGAGACTGGACCAATGGGGGATCGAGGTCACCCTGGACCCCCGGGCCCGCCTGGTGAGCAGGGTCTTCCAGGAGCTACAGGGAAAGAAGGAGCCAAGGTGAACCTCTCTTTAAAAACATGCATTCTGTAGGAAGATGTACGTCATTTTGCTCATGCAACACAACCACCTCACGCTGCGCCTACTAAATGAATGGCATTGTGCTCTTGATCTCCAGGGTGACCCAGGTCCTGCTGGCCCGGCAGGTAAGGATGGCCCTCCGGGCCCAAGAGGATTCGCGGGAGAGAGAGGTCTTCCTGGCCCCGTGGTTGGTATTCCCTTCTGCTCCGTACAATAGCGTCTCACAAATTCAAAGTCTCTCACAGCTCGGTTATTGCATAATAGTCCTGGACTATTAAATCGCTGTAAGACTTTGTTAACTTCAAGAAGCAGACATGATATCACGTCCCTGAGTGGGCATTACGAGAGAACTCCGTGTGCTCCGGGCTGTTTATTTTTTAAATCTTTTGCTCTTTTCTAATTTAACAGTGTTGTGCTTGTTATGCAATTCACACTATTTTCTTGCTGCGGACTTGTTAGATAGGATTTAATTGCGGAAAGGTTTTAGGTTAAACAAAATGATGCATAAGCACACCTGTTCCTGTGTAATATAAATGATGCTTGCAGCAGTTTTACTCAAGAACTGCTCTCAGCCTCCACTTTGGGGGCTATAGGAGGTATTCCATGTCACGCTGGGCCTGTCTGAGGGAGTCCAGCATGTGCTCCCCCAACAGATGTGTTTGTTTTCCCAAGCCTTCATTCTCTTCTGCTCTGCAGGGGGCTCACGGCTTGAAAGGGAGCGAAGGACCTCACGGACCACCTGGCCCTGCTGTGAGTACAATTCTCGCTCTCATTGTCTCGGTCTCACCTCACACATCTTGTCTCCATCTCGTGCAATTGTCTTCACGGCAAAGTTGCCACCCTGGTGTGTTCCATGCTCTGACATGATATAATTGTATGCACAGTGTTGCAGACTTGCATAAGGGAGGTCTGACCTATTTGGTAGACGTGACTGATCTTATAATCTAATGATTTATAGTATATAATATAATGATAATGATTTCTCTGATATTATGTGCTGTAGGGTTCTCCTGGTGAGCGCGGTCCTGCTGGCTCAGCCGGACCTACAGGTCTCCCTGGACGTCCTGGCCCCCAGGGACCCCCGGGTCCTTCTGGAGAGAAAGGTGGACCGGTAAGAGCATCCCATCATACACATTGCTGCTACGTTCTGTAAAAAAAAGAAGAAGATATATCTCTGTGGCAATAACACACATTAAACACGGCTAAATTCTGAAAAAATATATATTTCAGGGAGAGAAAGGACCTCAAGGCCCAGCTGGAAGAGACGGTATTCAGGGACCTGTGGGTCTGCCAGGACCTGGAGGACCTCCTGGACCACCTGGGGAGGACGGAGACAAGGTGGGTTGCTTGTCTCCTTTTGCCACCCACGTAGAAAAAAAATAAGACACTGAACTGTGCAGCAGAAATCTAAGCCAGATATCCTCTGGTCGTTTTCCCTGTGACCTTAGACGCTCCGGGGGGAATTTGTCTGACAGAGTTTGTATCGACCAACAGATCTTTAAAAGGCAAACGTGTTGTTGACAGAGGAGGGGAAGGAATTTTTCTGGCTATGGGAGAATGTGTGAAAGTGCCGATTCATCGTCCCCCTTTTAAAAACGTTTGCTTGAATATCCACCACATAGTTACCGGGAGGTCAGTAATTGTTTGAAGGAGGCCTCGGTTGCTAAGCGCCGCTGCACCAAAGCGCCGACGGACGCAGAGAGAACCGAGGGCGTTTGCCATGCAGATAAAATGGATCTGACTAGCTAATGTTTACTCTCTTTCTCATTATAAGTCCCGTCCACAGGGAGGGGAGCGACTCGCTCACTGCCTCACCACGAGCTTTAGTCTGACTCAAAACCAAAAGCAGAGGCCTCTGGGTTTGGACTGATATTAACATTATTTCTCCAAACACCCACACCATGTGGAGGCTTTGCAAGAATGCGGCATTGTTCTTCACTCTGGGAACGCTGGTGCAAACATGACGCTACAGGACCAATGATCCATTCTGTTTTGACTGCTGGTTGCACCTACGACTCAGCCCTTCTCCGTGGGAGAGATGCGATTGAAATATCCACAGAAAAATCTCCCAAGGACAAGTTGTGATGTAGTCGAGTGTAGGTTTCATTGTGTGTTGAGATGGAGATGTGATATTATTCATTGGCCCATGTTTGTCTTCCCCCTTCGTTTCACGCTGCGATCATTTGGTTCCGCAGGGAGAGCTTGGAGAGTCGGGCCAGAAAGGAGGCAAGGGTGACAAAGGAGAGCACGTAAGTCTTCGTAGTAATCAAGACCACATTGTTTTGTTCATCATTATACCACAGGAGGCTTTGAGTCCTATCCACTTTTACTGTATATTTGTGGGTTTTGACAGATTTGAGTTGATTGTCCCTTCATTGTGTTCCTTCTCCTCTGCAGGGTCCACCTGGTCCCACCGGCCCTCAAGGGCCTGTTGGAGCACCCGGTCCTGCTGTAAGTATCTAGTATGATCTGAACTGGATGTTCACATCATTCAACGCCTCGATCACACCAACCGCTGAGCTTTGTAGCTCCTTGATTGACACCCACGTGCTCTTGTGCAGGGCGCAGATGGAGAGCCCGGTCCCAGAGGTCAGCAGGGCCTGTTCGGCCAGAAGGGAGATGAAGGGTCAAGGGGATTCCCGGGACCTCCAGGTCCAGTCGGGCTGCAGGTGCGGACTGCCACAGAACAAGCGTGGTCTCATATTGTCATTGGTGAAACACAGAGTCGATAATGGCTGAACCCTCCCACAGGGCTTGCCCGGACCGCCTGGAGAGAAAGGTGAAACCGGCGACGTTGGTCAAATGGTAAGCACGTAGAAGACATTCACGCTTGTCTTCCTGCGTCAGAAGTTATTATTGACTTATTACGCTGCATCCTCTCTTCTGTGCAGGGTCCCCCCGGCCCCCCTGGTCCCAGAGGCCCCTCAGGACCCCCCGGAGCCGATGGCCCTCAGGGACCTCCTGGCGGTATCGGAAACCCGGGTTCTGTTGGAGAAAAGGTAAAAGTGTGGTACAAACGAGGTTTACATGTTTATGTAATAAACCCGCAACTTCTTTAGTTGGTGTAAACTATTTAATGCCATTTTTAATTTGCTACTTATATCTTTTCCGCAAGCAGTTAAGTAAATAGACATCTTCATCAATTTTCTTATTTTAATGTGCTACATGTTTTCTTGGAAAAGTATTTTCCTTCCTGAGGTTCCGCTCCGATTGACACGGGGTTCCGCGCCTCGAGATGACAATTGTTTGACTACAGGTTCATTTTCCAGACAGGTAGACAACAAACAAGCCCCCCCCCCTCCCACAAGTGTTTTATTGTAACATAGAAGAACCACGGGTTGCTGTTCTCGTGCGGGTGAACGGTTATTAGAACACTTTGGAAGCGGCAGCTTCGGGGCGGGGGGGGGCGTTTGTTTGAGGCTGCGAATGATTCTTTCAGGCCATTAATATTCTGGCCCCTTTTTTATACGACACCATTTAAACGGGACTCTTTCTGCCGCAGAGTGACAGATGCGCGGCAAATGTAACGGACATGCTGCCAGCCCCGACACTACTACTGCTGGGTGGAAAGATGATGAATTAATACTCAAAGACAACGTGTGATGAATGCATTATTAAAAAGCAGCTCCCATAAAATCAGCCCTGGCTCCCTTTTGTTCCTGCCGGTTCATTATGAAAAGACTCAGGCAGCTTTGGCAGCAGCTGGACTGCAGTGCCGTGTGCTTTCTCATCACTTTCTCTGGGTAGTGATGGTGTGATTTTTTTTTTTTTAAACTTTTATCTCAGTTCACAATAGAATCACCTTTTGCTCTTTCTGTAATGCCCTCTGAGGATAGACTGTCCTTCTCCGGTGCATACAAACACCGCTCTTCTAGCTGACCTGGCATTCTATTGGTCGGCACAGGGAGCTGGCAAGTGTCTGAGCTCAAGTTCTTCTTTTTTTTCTCCCTCACATCCCTCGTATATCTGTGAAGAGCAGCTGTCTTTCACGCTCTCGGTTGCCCCCGTCTGCACATTCCCCCCCCGGGCAACGTTAGCCGGCCGCCGTAAGGAGCTTCTGAGATGCGTTGTTGCGTGAAGACCGAGACTTCCAATACAAGAAGGATCAGTCAAGCTTTGAAACGCGGCAAGAGTGGATTTCCCGACAGCCACAACAGAGGGCTTGGAAGGCGGCCACGCGCTAATTTGGAGGATCAGCTGATGTTCGCAATACAGAGCTGTTGTTCATGCTCGAGAGAACCCGGATATGCTTATCCCAACACATCTCTGCTCAGCTTTTCACCGTACTATCGATTGCCTGACCGCCCCCCCCCCAAAATGTGGCACGGGCCGCTAGTCGTTGCTTAAACAGGTGCGGCGGAGTGCGCGTGCAGTGGAGGCCCGAGGGCTCGCGTGACAGTGAGTAACGGGAGGGTAGGTGAGTCAACGGAGCAACTATCCCAACAAGGCAGGCGTAAGAGGACAAGATGTATGGGCAGCTTCCAGTGAGAACAGTGAGGTCAGCACCCCTCGCCCCCCCACCCCACCCCACCCCCGGTGCTCCAGCCACCCAATCTGCCTGCACTTGATGGATTGAAACCTCTTGTGTCATCTCTTTCTATTCCCATTTGGGTGACAAGGGCACCGCGACAGTGAGGTGCTGCTGTAAACGATGGGATTTTTAGAACCACGTTGGACCAACAAATCACTTATATGTGTGTGTGTGTGTGTGTGTGTGTCTCTCTCAACCTTCAACCCCCCCCCCCTCATCCCCTCGTTCTCTCATCAGGGAGATTCTGGTGAAACAGGAGAGCCAGGTCTTCAGGGAGAACTCGGCCCACCAGTAAGTGATCCAGTTTTCTTTCCTCCACGTTATCATGGATAAGTATCAGCAACAGATGAAGGAACCAATTTCAATTCAACCAATTTTATGCTCATCAGGCTTGTCATATCTGTGACAAAAAGAAATATGTGGCTGTTAAAGATATTACCTTGAAATGTGGCATCGTCATTTGCCACTTAAATATCTGAGGACCTTAGAATGAGAACCACTAACACACTGTGTAATACATTAGGGTCCTAGAGGAGAACGAGGAGAAAAGGGAGAGTCCGGTCCGGCTGGCACAGCTGGACCTCCTGGCCCTAAAGGTCCCCCTGGAGATGACGGTCCCAAAGGCAGCCCAGTAAGTCTTTCTCCACCTTCGATAATACATTTCATTTTATACATCAATGCACCTTCAACAGTAACCTTACCACCCACAAAGGAAGACCATTGTGACCTTTAGCTCAAAATGCTCCCATTTCTTACTGATTCTCAGGGTCCAAGTGGTTTCCCCGGTGACCCTGGTCCCCCTGGAGAGCCCGGTCCCGCTGTACGTACAACACGAGCTGTTGAATTGTGCAGACTCTGTCCTTTACACTGTGTTTTTGATGCAGCGTGACTGAGACTCTTCTCATGCAGGGGTTGGACGGTCCCGCCGGTGACAAGGGAGACGATGGAGAGGCTGGTCAAGCTGTAAGTGTTGTGTTCCAATTGCTTAACTAAAACTCTTTCCTCTGCAGAGAATACATTGCTTTTTTATTTCATTGTATTAAGACTATTTCAATCACAAAACGACTCTTTGTTCAAATTCAAACTAGGGTTCTCCTGGACCCACCGGAGAGTCGGGTCCCTCCGGACCACCTGGGAAGAGAGTGAGTGCTGTGTCTCCTGTGCTCGTCACAACGTCCACGTTCAAGGTCCTTTTTGTTGCACAATATTCTTTTCCTTTTTTTTTTTAAATAGGGCCCCCCTGGAGTCTCAGGACCCGAGGGAAGACAAGGAGAGAAGGGAAACAAGGTAATGCATTTAAGAAATTGCACAGCAACAACGTGAAGTCGCCAACAAATGAGCGAGAATCTAATTGGTTTGTGTACATCCTGATTTTGTGTGAAAGGGAGAGACCGGCTTGGAAGGTGCCCAAGGAAAAACAGGTCCTGTTGGTCCCCAAGGATCACCTGGCAAGCCCGGTTCTGAAGGCCTCAGGGGCATCCCTGGCCCAGTTGTAAGTACATCTCAATGTTGTGTGGTTCTGTTACACGCAAACTGAATATAAAGGAGCTGCACTATTTATGGAAACGTGTGTTTTCTTATCAAACGGGGGGAAAGATACACTGTGCAATTTGTATTTCCATTCAGGGAGAGCAAGGTCTTCCTGGTTCCCCGGGCCCAGATGGACCACCCGGACCGATGGTGAGTAGAAGTGAATCCTCCCCGTAGTGTGTACAGTCCGATCTAAACCTTCATCCAACGGTTATCGCTCTCTGTGTCCCCCCGTCTCACAGGGTCCTCCCGGATTACCCGGCATGAAAGGAGACTCTGGCGTCAAAGGAGAAAAGGTGAGTCACCCGCGCAAGACTTATCAAAGTTATCAAAGCCTTGCTATAACGATAAGAGAAGTGAGCCAGAGAAAGGATACGGATTATGTTTGTGATCATCTTTGTGATATCATGGACTGTTTTGTTCTCCATCCTCAGGGCCATCCGGGTCTCATTGGTCTCATCGGGCCTCCCGGTGAACAGGGAGAAAAGGGTGACAGAGGTCTTCCTGGTCCGCCGGGATCACACGGTTCCAAAGGAGACAATGTAAGTAAACCAGTCAGTGAAAAGCAATACTTCTTGTGTTGAAAAGAACCCTGCAGTTATGGACTCACACTCACGTTCACATTTTCTCCTTTAGGGTATTTCAGGTCCTTCAGGGCCACTTGGTCCCCTTGGTCCTCCCGGATTACCCGTAAGACCCGTCAAATGTCTTGTACTGCTGCATGTGTGTAACGCATTAGTGTGTCACGCCTGAGCCAATATTGATCGCCGGCCCATGTTTGTGTCTTAGGGTCCCGCTGGTCCCAAAGGAGCCAAAGGGTCGTCGGTAAGCGTCTTTCCGAACGCCGCGTCCCATCGGGAAAACAGTGACAAGCATTGATCACGACTCATGAAATCATTTGGAGTTCAAGCTCCAGCATCATTGTTAATTTGTCCTCCACAGGGTCAAACTGGACCGAAGGGAGAGACCGGTACCACCGGACCCCCGGGGCCCCCTGTAAGTGAAAGGCTCTCGCGACCATTTCGTCTCCCACCTTCACATGATCTCCCTCCTCATCCCCCCGGCTGGCCCGTTTGTCCCTATAATCTCCCCATAACAGGGCCCCCCCGGCGATGTCATCCACCCGCTCCCCATGATGAATTCCATGAAGGGCAGAACTCGCAGGAACATCGATGCCAGCCAGATGTCGGACGACGCCGGCGCGGACGCCAACTACAAGGACTACGACGACGGCATGGAGGAAATCTTTGGCTCGCTCAACTCCCTCAAGCTGGAGATCGAGCAGATGAAGCACCCGCTGGGCACGCAGAACAACCCCGCCCGCACCTGCAAAGACCTGCAGCTCTGCCACCCCGACTTCCCCGACGGTTCGTATATCGGGGCAACGTCTTAAAATGGAGGCGCGCGCTGAAATCGTATTTACTGTATATTCGGAAGATGCTTTTATAGTTAAATTAATTGTGAAGATTGAGCCGCATGTCTTTCGCTCATGGGACAATTAGCAGAGTATCAGAGTATCAGGATTTAAGGGTAATCTGTTTTGACCAAACAATAATATAGAATAATAATAATAAGTATTAGTTGCGGAAAATCCCATATTCATTATCATTAAATGTCAGTTTCAGCAGCTCAGCACTAATTGTTTAAATATCACTTGTATCTCTATTCCCGTATGATATTCAACCACTGGATGATGCTTCTGTCAAACAGCAGGAGTCTGTGGAAGTGGAAGTTTGCTTAAATCGCTCAAACACTTTTAATGCTCCACTTAATAGAATGTGCTGTAATTATGTTGATTAAAGAAAGACAGCGGGGACTCCAAAATAAGATTGTAGGGACAATAACGACAGATTGTGGAGACATGTGGCGCACGGAGCACTGAGAACTTCCCTCACAAATACCACCCCATCTTCATCTCCATCTCTCCAGGTGACTACTGGATCGATCCGAACCAGGGATGCTCTCGGGACTCCTTCAAGGTTTACTGCAACTTCACAGCAGGTGGAGAGAGCTGCATCTTCCCAGATAAGAAGTCAGAAGGGGTAAGTCCGACCACGTGTACGCACACACACACACACACACACACATACACGCACACGCTGCCGCCATCCAGCAAAACCATTTGACTCTTCTCACTCTCCAGTTTTTGTAAACCTGGTTGACGCAGAAATGTCTTCTCTCCTCACGTCTTGGCACAAAATGAGCCAGAACATCGGTGTTCCGGTAACCGCAGTCCAACAACTCCCTCGGTCCGGCCCACGCGTTCGCCCTCCCATTCTGCCGCTTCAGCGCCGTCTTTTTGGGACCGCATGCCGTTGAGGACGCGTAAGCTCCTTTTGGCAGCTGACGGACACATTGTGGAACATTTTCACTTCATAATGCATCAGAGCGTGGAGGAGCAGCAGAGTGGTGCAACACTGGAAAAGCTGTGTTTGACAAGTCAGGGTTGTGTAATAGCACGGCGCCACAGCCACTTTAATGATCCCACTCACCCGGCCTCAGAGGAGGGGGGTTTACTTAAGCTCAGAATAATGAAGCAGACTTTTTATAGACGTGCTGAGAGAGAAGCCGCTGCTGTCAGTCCCCGCGTGGAGACGAACGAACGCACCCACGTGTGTGAAGATGGGCGAGCGCCACTGTGAGAGCGCACAGTTGCACGCCGTCCACGCACTGTGCACAATCGCCACAAAGCCAGACACCGACTCAGGAAAATCGCAGAGAGAACGCACATTTTCTCCTCGGTTCAGCCTATTGCAGTGAAAACAGCTGAAGGTCACCTAATAATGTGCGAGTCCCCTCGCGCTCATCATTCATTTACCTATCAAGCTATTGATATCAAACCCCGCCATCTAATTGAGAAGTTCATCACTGTCATAGCCGATGATCATTAGAGCTTTGCCCTGTTGGCCCATTCGCAGCTTTCAATGGCGTCACAAAGTTAGTGCACCGTGGCTGCGCTGCACTAACACTGAACAGCAGGGACAGAGGCCGGCGGAGAGGAGCTCCTTGCAGGCAATCATTGCTTAATTAATCACTGTGTACTCATGCATTTTTCAGCAGCAATGAGCTGCCAGCCACAGTTTGTACCGTACAAAACGGCATAATGGCTTACTAAAAACCCTTATTCCCTGGACCGGGGGTCCGGTTACGGCTTCGGGTCCCGGCGACTCCTCCGCGGACAAACAGAAGGAGGAGGATTTTCTGTTTGCCTTTCTTTAACACTGCTGTTTTTGCCTCCTGTGTCGACCCCACCCCCCCACCAGGCCAGGCTCACATCCTGGGCAAAGGAGAATCCCGGCTCATGGTTCAGTGAATTCAAACGTGGTAAACTGGTAAGCCACACTCACACACAAGTCCTTTTCCCTTCCCTGAACGCCTCTTATATTTTACAGAGCAAAATGGCAAAATGGCCCAAAGACTCGCCAGGCACATGGTATAGTCACTACAAGAGAGGTTCTGTGGTAAGTGGCCCGGCCCGCGGTCACAGGCTCCTGGCTCAGGCCGGGACTCTGTGCGCCGGGGGGCTCTGCATGGTTCTGGTTTCGTCATCTTCACGCCCTGTCAGACCGTGACTTTGTTCGCCGCGCATGATCTTCCCGCACGGGCCCGCACTCCCCTTTCGGCCCAACGACAGCCGCGGCGATGCTCTCGCGAGGCGATGGGGGGGGCCGAGGTTTGTGGAGCACGACGTCTGATGGAGCAAACGATGCACCGCTGCTCCGCTCCACACCTCTGCTACATCCACAGAGCATCTCCTGGTGACTGTGTGCCTCAACGCTCCCAACGGCTCCAGATAACAACATCCAGCTTCTTAAATAATCTGGAAAAGGGAGTGAATATATCACTTAACACCTCCCGCCCCTTACACACTGCATCTCAACAACTTCCCGCCTCAGCGGGTAATTTATCCTCCACGAGGGGGGGGAACCATAAACATCAGTCCCTCTCTGCTGCAGCCGCCCAGCTGCACTCCCATTCGCAGTATCTCCCTTAAACGCCACTTAGATCCGGCGGAGGAGCTCTGAGAGGAGCAGGTCAGGCACTCAGTCACCACCCAGGGGCTTCTGGGTACTCGGTCACCGTTGACTTGCGGCAGCGATGATAAAGAGGTAATGTTTTTTGCTGTCGACGGTGGGATGGATCCGCCCGGGCCGCTCCGAGGACGAGCCGCGGCGCCGACGCTCAGCGTCGCGGATCCAAGTCAGACGCCGATATCAAGTCTCGTGATCGATTAGCGCACATAAATTCCGCACGCACGTAAGTGGGAAAGACAAGTCGGCTCCCCCTGCCGACGGCGCAGCTCGAGCGTCGGCGCTCTCGGGGGTTCGTGCATGTGTGCATGCGCGTGGTTTCTGCTCGCGCGTGCGTGCGTGCGTGGCTTCGGACGTTTGGAGGAGAACGAAAGGTCGAGAAAGACCACTTCCAGAGACTCACAGACGGTTTGCCGGCCTTGCTGCATGGTGTGGATGCTGCACGCGCCGTCCCCTCAGCAAGTCCCGCGCGTCTCACAGACCAGGCGACTAGGTGGATCTGACGGATGCTCGACGGTTGGTATGTAGGCAGTCGCCACGGTAAACTGCAGCACAAATCCAAAGCTGCCGTCTTGTCAGCCAGGAGGATTACATGGCGCTGTAATAATCAGCTTAATGGAATATATCTGAATGAAAAGGAAAAAATGGGAAATAGAGGTTAATTATAGGTTAATCAGCAGGCTATTAACATATCATTACTGCAACACATTTCCTATTAGGGATAATTACATTTCCATGTACATGCTCATATTGGATATATATTTTACATAATTACAAGATCAACATTTAAATTAGATGTTTAGTTATGCTTATTTTTAGTACTTTGGCAGATTTTTCCAAAGTGAGCATTGAGCATCAGTACAGCTTCCAGGCATTAGAAACAAATATTCTGCGCGCTTCTTTCCCATCAAGGAAGCGTATCATCACCTGATTGGTTAGGAAGTATGGACATTGTTCCATGCTCATCTTCACCCTGGAGACATTTGCATACATTTGCACATTACTGGGTAATATTCAACGTTTTATTCAACAAATCCACACAAAAAGACCAAAGCTTGCAATGAAACGAACATACTGCAACAACACCAGTAAGCCACACGGATCCACCGGCTACTGTGTTCTTTCATTGCAATGGAATTACAATGAATAGAGGCAATGTTTTAATCCAATCCTTTAAACACCATTCTGTTGTATTACTCATTAGTGTATTCAAATATTTATAAAAACGTATAGTGTTAAAGGAAATCTCTATTTGTTGAAGTATATTTGCAATCAATAGCGTCTTCAATGGGAATGAATGAAACAAACTGGGTCGGTAAGTCAGAGCATTGTGAGTATTTTGGTATTTTGGTGGGATTTGTTAAAAATAAGAGGTACGCAGAATATCACCAACTTTACCCTTAAATTAAAAATCAAACAAAGCTCTCTGTATTAGAGCATATTGACTGGCACTGCTGTCAATATAAACCACGTCCTAAACAGCTCCCGAGCGACCCAAAGACACGACGAAGACATTTGACCCGATCCCTCCTCCTGCTGTACACTCGCTGTGTCCACTTCTTCGTCTAATCCCGCTTAGAGCGGATCCTAGGGGCCCGGAGGGAAACCTCGTATGCGGTGCAGATACATGCTTGCCGGTTCAGAGCCCGGGAG